TATTTAAGTTTATATTTCTGTATATATTTAAGTATATATTTCTGTATATATTTAAGTATATAGTATCTGTTTATATAGCATTTGTACATATTTAAATATATAGTATCTGACTATATTTAAGTATATATTTCTGTCTATATTTAAGTTTATATTTCTATATATATTTAAGTATATTGTATCTGTATATATTTCACTGGAGTTGATATTTTAACTGAGGTGTGTGAAGATATTATCTGGATTTTGTTTCTCGGCGCTGTGTCTGTGAACTCTGACGAGGAAACGTTCAATTCATTATTTTAAAATCTGAAATCAGAATTTCATCAAAGTTTCAGCTCAAAATCTATAAAATTACATTTTCAAATATTTAATATTTGTTTTAAATGATTTGAATATGAACCGACTTTATCTGATTATTTATTGATTAAACAGAGAAAAACAATCTGAAAATCAAAAGTCTTCTTTAACCTCTCTCTTGCCGTAGATTTCTCGGGCGTGTCCTGAGGGAAACACCACAGTCTGTCCTCCTCCTCCTCCTCCTCCTCCTCCTTCATGGCTGTTGGTTCGGGTTCGAGCGGCGCGGTGTCGCTGCATCTGCGGACTGAATGACTCAAAGTTGAGGGTTTTGTTCTCGAAGGCTCCTTCGACGCTGCAGAACATCCCGCCATACTTCATCCGAGGGCGAGGAGAGTCCGAGCCCAGCCGGGACAGGAGGGAGGAGCAGTCGTCCTCCTGCTGAGAACACCTCCTCTCAGACATCCTGGACACATCTGAGACGAGACGAGACGAGACGAGGAAGAAGAGGAGGAGGAGGAGGGTGGGCCGGAGATCTCAGGCAATAAATGAGGAGACCAGAGGAGGAGGAGCAGGAAAAGGAGGCCATGGGGGAGGGGAGGGACCATGAGAACCTGGGTTCCACTGAGCTGCAAGAACTCTTTGCTTCCTTCATTTAGAAACACTTTAAACCGTTTGAGCTTCAGAGACACAGAACAACAAGTCTGAACAACCCACGTGTCCAAGCTGCTTCCTGTTGGAAAGGGTTCAGTAATGGTTCTCTAATTAATCTGTAATGGTTCTCTAATGGTTCGGTAATGGTTTTGTAATTGTTCTCTAATGGTTCTCTTGGTTGTGCAATGGCTCTGTAATGGTTCTCTAATGGTTCTGTAGTGGTTCTCTAGGCGCCCTGCATTTTAACACGGTGGCCTTCAGTCGTTTCTGTCCTAAGGAACTTTATTTTCACCAAGACATCTGTGAAGAAAAACAAGAACTGGATGAAGAATAATTAAGGATCCACCTGAATTTAGTTTATAACCCATCGCTGCTGATTGGCTAACACCTTTGACCTTTGACATGCCCACCAGACGAGAGGAAACACACCTTTAAGCCTGTTTCACAGAAACTGTAACAACACCTTCTCCAGGTTCCTCCAAAGAACTGAGGGGCTGAAGGGTCACTGCAGAGAGGAAACACCATGGAGATCTGTGACTGACTGATCAATTGATTGATTGACTGATTAAAATGCACCCTGGGAGTCGTAGTTGTCACCTGTCCTTCAGTCTTTGTGTCCACAGACGTCTTATCGACTGGTACTGCAGGAGCCTGACAGACATCTCAACTGTTGATTGATTAGCTGTCAGCTGTTATTGATTATTGACGCAAGATCATCCTGGTGTTCACTCTGACATCATCACGTGACATCACAGCGAGTGCTCTGAATATTTCAGGTCCAATAAACACAAAGAGACTCAGGGTCCTGTCGGCTCTTTAACTGTCTGACTTTATAGACACAACACACACACTGTAACACACACACACACACACACACACACACACACACACATACACACAGGTCAGTGCTCATTACTGCTGATGCTCTGCAGCTCTGAACTGGATTTCTTTGCCTGTCACATTCACTTTATCTCACACACACACACACACACACTCACACAGTCACACACTCAGTGGACCGTAATGAAGTGTGTATCGTCATGTGAACATGAAGCTCTCGTGTTTTAAACTGATCAGTCACTTCCTGTCTGACAGAGTCTGACAGGAAGTAACTGGGTTAACCACACACAGTACATACAGCACATACATGATACAGTGTAGGGATGTGACTCAGTGGTCACTTTATTAGGTACACCTGCTGATACAGATAAATGATGAGCGGATCAATCGATCAAGAACAGGATGAAGAGGATCGGCCCATCAGACGTGATCTCAGAGTTGAAGGATCGTTGTTGGTTTCAATCAATGAATCAATTTTATTTATAAAGCCCAATATCACAAATCACAATTTGCCTCACAGGGCTTTACAGCATACGACATCCCTCTGTCCTTATGACCCTCACAGCTGATCAGGAAAAACTCCCCAAAAAACCCTTTAACGGGGAAAAAAAACGGTAGAAACCTCAGGAAGAGCAACTGAGGAGGGATCCCTCTTCCAGGACGGACAGACGTGCAATAGATGTCGTACAGAACAGATCA